CCCAACCGCCCAGAGACTGTGGGAAATAAAACCTCCTGTCAAGGTAGCTGCCAGGGTTTAACAGCAATGGAGCATAAGAGTGAGGACGGTTAAGTCACACAGAAAGATTGCCCCATCTGGACCCCTGCCTGGACAAGGCGAAGCCCCAGGGTTTTCTCTCCTCCCTCTGCCCCCCCACTGTTAATGAGTTAATGAGTAGCAAGGTCATTAATCACTAATCGTCCACCCAGCCTGCTCGGAGGGCCCGCCTGAATGCACAAAGCTGGGGGACTGGGCTGATTGAGCTGGTGGCCTCTCAGACACAGCTGGCCTCCCCACCCCCACCATGCCTGGCTCCTGGCCCCAGGCACGTGGAGGAGAAAGCGGGGGAGGCGGGGAGGGAGGGAAGGAGCCGGCCCCTGCACAGCTCCTCCAAGTAGTGAGCAGCCTGGGCAGGCTGGGCTGTGTGAGGGCCTTCCATCCTCCACCACCCCGTGCCCACTCCAGCACTGCCCCTGCTCCCTTCCCCGCCCCTCGGCTCTGGGAGCCAGCCTGGGCAAGGGCTGTCAGCTCTCCCCACCCATCTCCCCACCTCCAGTCCTCAGCTTCCACCCAGCACCGTCACTGCCACCGCCACTGATGAAGCTCAGGCCAGAGTCCCCACGACTTATTTGTCAGCCCTCTCTGCACTTGAGCTCAGGGGCTCAGGGCTGTGCTGACCACACCTGCCTGCTCACCCCTCACCTACACCTCTGCAGCCCTCCTCAGGACCCTGGGGCCTCCCCTCCTACTCCATCCTCACTCCTGCACAACCCATCTTCTCCAAGCCCATGCTTTTAGGACCCTCTACCACAAGCAGCAGCCCCCATCTCTGCAGCCCTGCAGGAGCTCAGCTTGTATCCTGGCCTGGGTCCTTCCTGCCCCCCACATCCACATCTGCTGGTCAGCAAACCCGGAGGCTCTCCTGAATCCTCTCCCACGCCCCAGCCTCCCTGCTGCCCCTGTTGGGGATCTTAGGGATTCCTTCATTTCACAAATGCAGACTCCGCTCAGAGCGGACTGAGCCCCTGGGTCACACAGCAGGCCTGGGCAAGGGATCCGAGACTCTTTTGTCAGCAGCGTTTTAATTACTGGGGTAGGGGGACAGTTAACGAGGCCCTGGAGATCAGCAGAGCCAGATGCTGGAGGTCCCAGGAGGGCAGGTGACTCAGCAGGGGTGGGGTGAGTCAGAGAGGTTGACAGAGGGCCAAATTCTCACCTCCCCCTACATCTTCCAGAGAGACAGGCTGTAGTGAATGAACGAGCGACTGGGGGGACCCAGGCCTCTCCACAGTGGCTGCCTGACCACAGGGTCCACAGCACTCCATCAATCTCCCCCCCCCACCCCGCACACAAACATACAGAGTTGCATAGAGGCCAGACCCCTGTGGGCCCTGGGGACACAGGTTCCAGTGGCTGTCTCCCCTCCCAGCCCAGCCTGGATCCATACCAGGCCCTCCCTCCTCACAATTTGCTGGGGAAGGCCCCAGGGCCCAGAGCACATAGAGTCCTAACTAGCCCCTGGGGTGCAGTGAGAACAACATGCTGCGTGGAAGGTACTGCTCTGTAGAGGGGCCACAGCCCACTGCCCATGGCTCTGCGAGGGGCACAGGCAGGCTTGCACGTGGAAAGGCAGCAGGGGGACAAAGACAGGGTGCCGTGGTGAGGGGCTCCATGGAAGGTAAAAGGGCCGTAGGGGCAGAAGAGCAGCAGGGACGACCACGAGGACCTCGGATGCCAGGCTGAGGTGGACAGGCGGCCAGGGCAGGCAGGGAAGGCCAGCCGCTCCTCCTCTTGGCCCCCTATTGTAAGATGGGGCGAGGACCCCCGCCCCGTGCATTCATCCATGTACTCCATCCAGCATTCTGCATGTTTAGCACCACTGTGTACCTGAATCTGACCCAGGAGATAATCCAGCCTCGGGCTCAGGGACCTCACTGAGGGTGGACAAAGAACACCGCCATTTAAATACCACTCTGAAGGGTGCTGTGGGGGAGGGGCTTGAGTTACTTGGTGTGGGATGGGGTGGTCGAGGAAGGTTTCCCTGCCCAAGTGAGAGAAAGGGAAGCCCCCAGCAAATGAGGGGCAGGGAGCCCCATGCAGAGGCCTGGAGGGGTGAAAGAAGGTCGTTGGGTTAGAGAAAGTTAAAGAGAAGGTGGCCAGGACACAGACAGTGTGAGATGGGCTGGGACCTCCAGGCGCCTCAGTGAGGGCCGGGCACATGGAGAGCAAGGGAGACCCGCAGAGCTTGAACGGAGGGGCAGGAGCTCTGGGTTGGATAAGGATGGATTCCTGCAGCTGCGTGTGCACTGCTGGGCGGGAGGGAGGAGGTGACAGTGGCCTGGACTATGACATAGAAGGAGGTGGTTCTGCGCCAGTGAGGAGGGCTGTGGGCCCTTCCCCCGACCGCGATGAGGACAGTAGCTTCCAGTCGAGAACACGGGTTTGGTTTCGGACTCAGGTCTGGAACGCCTGGGCTTCTGCAGCCTGTTGCTCCACGTCCTGTCACCTCTGCCCAGAAGTCAGCCCAAGCCTCTGTGGAGCCCCACCGACAGCGTGGTCCCCACGGGCAAGTCCACCACATCTTAGCCTGCCGGAGTCGATCCCTCCAAAGGCCCCCGGGACCCCAGTCGCCCCGGACCTGGCCCTGCTGGGCTTCCCCGGGACCCAGGCTGGATCCCTCGGGGCCTGGGTGTTTCCCACCGCCGTCCCAGGGGCCCTCTCCACGGCGCGTGTCGCCCGGGCCCCAGCGGTCGCTAGGCTGCGGGCTGGGGCTCCTGGCCGGGCCGGGCGCTGCTGCTGGTGGTGGAGGCGGCGGCACGGATGGCAGCGGAGCCTGGGCGCTCGTGGG